GTGCATTACCCAAAGCGGCCACACAGTGTCACTGTTGCTCCATAAAGGAAATGCTCTGTGCATTACCTGGCATGGCCACACAGTGTCACTGTTGCTCTGTGCAGAAAATGCTCTGTGCATTACCTCGCGTGGCCACATGGTGTCACTGTTGCTCCATGAAGGAAATGCTCTGTGCATTACCCTGCGTGGCCACCCGGTGTCACTGTTGCTCCATGTAGACAATGCTCTGTGCATTACCCGCGTAGCAACCCAGTGTCACTGTTGTTCCATGAATGAAATGCTCTGTGCATTACCCCGCGTGGCCACACAGTGTTACTGTTGCTCCTTAAGGAAATGCTCTGTGCATTACCACGCGTGGCCACACAGTGTCACTGTTCCTCCTTAAGGAAATGCTCTGTGCATTACCTCGGATGGCCACACAGTGTCACTGTTGCTCCATAAAGGAAATTCTCTGTGCCTTACCTCGGATGGCCACACAGTGTCACTGTTACTCCATGAAGGAAATGCTCTGTGCTTTTCCTTGCGTGGCCACACAGTGTCACTGTTGCTCCACGTAGAAAATGGTTTGTGCATTACCCCGCGTGACCACACGGTGTCGCTGTTGCTCCTTAAGAAAATGCTCTGTGGATTACCTTCGGTGGCCACAAAGTGTCGCTGTGCTCAGGCTTTGCGGCTCCCGGGAGTGTGAGCTGCCACCATTGCTGCCGCTCCCAGAGCAGGCTCAGGGCCCCTCGCCCCGGCAGTGGCTCACATGCTCGGGAGCCGCAGACCCCGAGCACAGCGAGGGGGGAGCTGGGGGGCGCACGGGGGCCTCTGCCCGCATGCATCCGCAACCTGGGCAGGAGGGGCAAGGGGCACGTCTGCTCCCCGGTAGCGGCGCTGCTGCCTTTGCAGGGCTGCTGCCCCCCTGCGCCGCACCGGCTCCTCCATGGCTGGGGCTCGCCGGCCCCGCAAGCCGACGTTCTGTCTCTCTGGTGTCTCCGGAAGGCAGTTCCTCCCTGCTGAGCCAGGGCACCGCTTTTGGGCGCCCCTAGGGCCATCCTTAGGATTTATGGGGCCCTATGCAGTATTATTAAACTGGTGCCCCTATGCCCGATGGCAGCCTGAGCTTGCAGCCGGCGGGGGCGAAGGGACAAAGCAGAAAGAATAACAAGATGCCCGGCCCGCCTCACGGTGGCTTAGAGTCACAGTTCCCTGCAGAGATCCCTGTATCCTCTCTCTCATGTGGAATGGACATGCAGAAGGTACCTAATTAAAAGCACTAAACTTGGGAATAAAAAATGTCAGTCACAGGTTTTTTGATATGCCCTGAAGTTTGTCAGACATTTATTTGCAAAAACTTTGTAGTAAGGGTGAGTAAGCTGTCTTTCTGAATACAACATTAAATATTATGAAATACATGATGCAGCTCTTCTCTGTTTTACATTTTCTTAATCAGTATTTCTAAGCTGATTTTATATTTTAAATGTACTCTTAAACCTTCATAAAGTTATCATTCCAGATTACTACATATTTAACTCACTGAAACAGACAATATTTTAAATTAATCAGTTACAGAAGCTTAGTGTGTTCATAACAATGTTCATTGCTTTTAGAAAAAGGGAACTCTAATTTACTGTGTGTGATCTCCATAACAATACATGTTTATGAAATTTCACCAACTTTAAAAAATATCTTTCCAAAGATTTTAGGCATAACAAAGGATTTTATATCTTACTAAGGTACTGATTTTGCTTAAAACTAGTTCATCAAAAGATAGTCAGAAGTAAAGAAAGGGAAACTCTTTGTTCAGCTATCTGGAAGCAAAGGGCTGTTGTCCGTTTAAGGGCTCTCTTCAATGGGGGTTGGGGGAGAGGGAGTGAAGGGAGAAATGGATGAGCAGAAAGGACTGGAAGACTTTGGAAGTAAGTTTTTTTACTATAGTAATTAAAATGTGTATTTTAGATAAGGGAGGTCTTTTGAAGGATTTATTTAAAAAGTCATATGTCTGAAGTTCCAAGCATTTAAGGCTAAAGATGATTGTGCATCTAAAAATCTATGCAAGGATTTTTTAGAGATGTGATTTTATAATCTTCACCAACTCACTAATGAACTATTTTTAAAGCAAATTTTAAACTAAGATCCTGTAGACTGACATGTCCTGAGTAAATATGACCGTCATGCACAACTGTTTTTGTCAGTACATTCAGAAACTGACAGTATATACCTGGGGGTTGGCAAACGCCTGTTAAGTGGCTTCATTACCCCTTGAATGGCTCTTTAACAATTTCAGTGTTGTGCTAATAGGTCTGGCAGGCTGGAGGCTTTTTCTCTTTTAACTACTAGATCCCCTTCCCAGGAAGACTCCGAGCCTGCAGGAAGGGTCAGAACAGGGATAGGAAAACCAGAAGGGTGGACACTAAGACCCAGTGGGCGCCCCCAGCCACTTGGCGCCCTAGGCGACCCGGCCCTGCAAAGGACTAAGCCACTGATGCCTACTGAACTTATCCATAGACCAGCCCCATGGACTCTCTCTCTCTTCTCCTCTCATTGTGCCGTCTCCCTTCATAGGACAAGGGCAGGTGTGGTAGTTGTGCATCCCCACAGGCTAGGTCTCCGGAGCCATGGAGAAGTAGGAGGGGATGAAAATCATGCAGGGCAGTGGGTGCGAGAGTGGAGCGGTGACTGTCGGTGTTAACTCGGTCTCTGTTCATTGAGGGGGGCAGATGTAGATAGGATGGAAGAGGGAGGCAGGGATGAGGGCAAGAGCTCTGTGTAATGATGGCTCATCCTTGGCTTTTGCAGCTGCTCTTACAGAGGAATTGTTGTTCAGGAGCCCTAACCAGAGGAGAAGCTGGCAGAAGTGGATCTGAGCAGCTTGGACATCCTTCTAAGCAGATATGAACAGTCCTCAGCTTTCTGCCTCCCTCATAACTACACTTCACGACTTTTAGCGGCACGGCTGAAGCCTAAGATAAATGCATGGTAGAGGCTGAGTACAGACGGCTGCTTCCCTTTAGGTGAGGCTTGGTTTCTCATAAAAGTTTTCCTCCTTGTTCTGGGTGTGGGAGGAGAATTTCCCTATTTTGGGATTAGCTGTGGGATTACGACCAGGGGAAGAGACAATAGTCTCCTCTGCACAGTGACTCTCTTGGGTGCAGGTGCAACGGGCTGCTTAACATTAGAACGTAAGAATGGCAATACTGGGTCAGACCAAAGGTCCATCTAGCTCAGTATCCTGTCTTCCGACTGGCTAATACCAGGTGCTTCAGAGGGAATGAATAGAACAGGTAATCGTGAAGTGATCCATCCTGTGTCGCCCATTCCCAGCTTCTGGCAAACAGAGGATAAGGACACCATCCCTGCCCATCCTGACTAATAGCCATTGATGGACCTATTCTCCATGAATTGACTTAGTTCTTTTTTGAACCCTATTATAGTCTTGGCTTTCACAGCATTCTCTGGCCAGCAATTCCAGAGGTTAAGTGTGCGTTGTGCACTTTTTAATTGTATCTATAAAGGTGTAATGGGACAGGGAGAAGAAGAACATACACTGATGATTACTTTTGTTTTTCCCTCTTGTGTTCTGCTTAGTAGGATGGAGAAAGAAGTCAAGGGTAAGAGCCCACCCCCGTTGTGAGATGGAAGGCGCACAAGAGCCATGAGACAGTGAGCATTGTTGATGCCAGGCTATGGCGATGCCATCTAGCTGGAAGCGGAGCAGCCGTCACTGTCAGTGAGTTAAGTGTCTGGTTTGGTGAGGAGTCTGGTCACGGCCCACATGGCTCCAGGCAGGGATGCGCCGTTAGCTTGGTCTGTGTTTGTAAGAAAAGGTTCCCGTCTAGCTGTGGCTACGAGGGAGACGAGGTCCCCGTTATCAGGGGCTGCTCATTTTGTCTGGTCAGGAGCGGTCTGTCCACCGCAGCGAAAGGTTGCATCTAGGAGGATGACTCTAGCTGGTGAGTTTCTTGCCTTCCTTCCATGTTTCTCTCTCTCTTCTCTAGTGTGTTGTCTGACCCACTTTCTCGGTCTGTCCTTGTCTCTACTTGTTCGGTCTCCTTTCGTTGAACACGGGCAGGCGTGCTAGGTGTGCATCCCCACTGGCTAGGTCTCGGAAGCCATGTAGAAGTGGAAGGGGACAAAAATCACGTGGGGCAGTGCACGCGAGAGTGGAGCATCACTGTCAGTGTTGACGCAGTCTCTGTTCATCGAGTGGGGTCGATGTAGACGGGATGGGAGAGGGAGGCAAGGATGAGGGCAAGATTTTGCCCATCAGTTGAGTTTTGTGGAGTGATGGCTCCTGCTTGGCTTATTTGTGGCGCTTGCAGAGGAACAGTCGAGCAGCAGCCGAAGGAAAAGCTGGCAGAGGTGGACCTGAGCAGCCTGGACATCCTTGTAAGCAGAGATTAACAATCCTCCGCTTTCTGCCTTCTGCATAACTGACTGTGAGTAAGCCGTCAGTGCTTGGAATTCCTCATCTGTGCTCGCTCTAGTTTTCTTCACAGGCCGTGAGCTTCCTCACTGGGCACGGGGCTCTGTGGGATTGAGGCTGGGGAGGGGCCAGAGTCTGCTCTGCAAAGTGACTATGTCGGGTGCCGTTGCAAGGGGTGCTTTTTGGTTGTAATGCTAAAGGTGTAACGGGAAGAGGGTTGAGGGCGGATATGCTCAGTCCTCAAGTCTCTTCCTTCTCTATCACTGGGTGAGCTTCCCTGGTCATGCCACTCTAGGTATCCTCTCTGAAGCAGGCTATATTCAGTAGCGGACGTGAGCAGGGGTCTGAGAGTAGCCCTCGGCCTGTGTCTCCAGTCACCAAGTTGCACCACACACGTTATGTGGAGGGTCCAGGGCTCTGCACAGCACTCCGGGCTGACCTGCTCCAGCCTGGGCTCCTGGGTCCTAACCCTCGTGGTTACTGCTCCCCGAGGGCTCTGCTGGCCCTGGAGCCCGACCCCAACCCGAGCAGCTCTTAAGGTCTGTGAGCGGTCGAAGGGCGGCCGGGAACTGAGGAGCAGCCACAGCCCCGGGACCCCACCCAGCACAAGGACAAGAGTGGGGAGCGCTGTGGCTGCCTGCATCATTGCGCCACCTAGCGCAGCAGTCGCCCTACCCTGCCTGGCTCTGGCTTCTGGCCTCTGGGCTGGTGAAGGGCCGGAGCCTCTGAGGGGAGGAGGCGGAACTTGCACTTCAGTGAGGGGTGAGGCCTCGTGGTGGTGGGGGGGATGCAGCTGCCACAATTTTCTGTCTACCCCACCTCAGCTCCCCCAATGAGGAAGGGGCTGGTGCTGCCCCTGCTGCCCACAGGCTTTCACTGCTCCTCCAGGGCAGATGCACGCTGCGCATTTCCCCAACTGGCCACCGGGTGTCACCGCTGCTCCAGGAGAAACACAGTCTGTATACTTCTGTTAGGGTACGTCTACACTACACGATTAATCCGAATTTAGCTAATTCGAATTTGGTAAACCGGTTGTATTAATTCGATTGTATGCGGCCACACTAAGCAAATTAATTCGGTGGTGTGCGTCCATGTACTGGGGCTAGCGTCGATTTCTGGAGCGTTGCACTGTGGGTAGCTATCCCATAGCTATCCCATAGTTCCCGGAGTCTCCCCTGCCCATTGGAATTCTGGGTTGAGATCCCAGTGCCTGATGGGACCAAAACATTGTCGCAGGTGGTTCTGGGTACAGCCTCACCCCTCCCTCCCTCCCCCCCTCCCTGCATGAAAGCAACGGACGGCAGACAACCATTTCGCGCCTTTTTTCCTGGCTGAACGCAGCAGACTCCATACCACGGCAAGCATGGAGCCCGCTCAGCTCAAGACAGCAGTCATGAACATTGTAAATACCTCGCGCCTTATCGTACAGTTTATGCTGAACAAGAACCTTGAAAGCCAGGCAGAGAGGAGCAGGCTACAGCAGCGCGGCGACGAGAGTGATGAGGACATGGACATGGAATTCTATCGAACCGCGGGACCCGGTGCTTTGGAGATCATGCTGTTAATGGGGCAGGTTATAGGCTTGGAACGCCGATTCTGGGCCCGGGAAACAAGCACAGACTGGTGGGACCGCATAGTGTTGCAGGTGTGGGACGATTCCCAGTGGCTGCGGAACTTTCGCATGCGTAAGGGCACTTTCATGGAACTTTGTGACTTGCTTTCCCCTGCCCTGAAGCGCCAGAATACCAGGATGAGAGCAGCCCTCACAGTTGAGAAGCGAGTGGCAATAGCCCTGTGGAAGCTTGCAACGCCAGACAGCTACCGGTCAGTGGGGAATCAATTTGGAGTGGGCAAATCTACTGTGGGGGCTGCTGTGATACAAGTAGCCAAAGCAATCACTGAGGTGCTGCTACACAAGCTAGTGACTCTGGGGGATGTGCAGGTCATAGTGGATGGCTTTGCTGCAATGGGATTCCCTAACTGTGGTGGGGCGATAGATGGAACCCACATCCCTATCTTGGCACCGGAGCACCAGGGTACCCAGTACGTAAACCGCAAGGGGTACTTTTCAATGGTGCTGCAAGCACTGGTGGATCACAAGGGACGTTTTACCGACATCAACGTGGGGTGGCCGGGAAGGGTTCATGATGCACGCGTCTTCAGGAACACTAATCTGTTTAAACGGCTGCAGCAAGGGACTTACTTCCCGGACCAGAAAATAACCGTTGGGGATGTTGAAATGCCTATCGTTATCCTTGGGGACCCAGCCTACCCCTTAATGCCATGGCTCATGAAGCCATACACAGGCAGCCTGGACAGGAGTCAGGAGCTGTTTAACTACAGGCTGAGCAAGTGCAAAATGGTGGTAGAATGTGCATTTGGCCGTTTAAAAGCACGCTGGCGATCGCTACTAACTCGCTCTGACCTCAGCCAAAGAAATCTCCCCATTGTTATTTCTGCTTGCTGTGTGCTCCACAATCTCTGTGAAAGTAAGGGGGAGACCTTTATGTCCGGGTGGGAGGCTGAGGCAAATCGCCTGGCTGCTGATTACGCGCAGCCAGACACCAGGGCGATTAGAAGAACACACCAGGAAGCAGTGTGCATCAGAGAAGCTCTGAAAACCAGTTTCATGACTGGCCAGGCTACAGTGTGAAATTTCTGTTTGTTTCTCCCTTCATGAAAACCAGCCCCCTTCATTCTCATTCATTCTCTGTA